AGAAAGAAAGAAAGAAAGAAAGAAAGAAAGAAAGAAAGAAAGAAAGAAAGAAAGAAAGAAAGAAAGAAAGAATATGTAAAAAAAAGGAAATGCTCAATGTTATTAGTCATCAGGGAAATGCAAATCAAAACAACTCTGAGATTTCATCTTACACCTATCAGAATGGCTAAGATCAAAAACTCAAGTGACAGTACATGCTGGAGAGGCTGTGGAGCCAGGAGAACACTCCTCCACTGCTGGTGGAAGTGCAAACTTGTACAATCACTTTGGAAATCAATCTTATACTTTCTCAGAAAACTGAGAATAGTTGTACTTCAAGACCCAGATATACCACTCCTGGGTATATGATGCTCCAAAGATACTCCACACATCACAAGGACATTTGCTCCACTATGTTTGTAGCATCTTTATTTGTAATAGACAGAAACTGGAAACAACCCAGACTCCCTCAGCTGAAGAATGGATAAAGAAATTGTGGTACATTTACACAGTGGAATACTATTCAACTAATAAAAACAAGGACATCATGACATTTGCAGTCAAGTAGATGGAACTAGGTTACCCAAGTGAGGTTACGTAGACCTGGAAATACAAATACAGTGTGTACTCACTCATAAGCGAATATCAGCTGTAAACTACAGGATAACCACGCTACAATCAACAGACCCCAAGAAGCCAAGCAACAAGGATAGCTCAAGGCAGGATGCTTGAATCTCACTGAGAAGGGGAAATAAAATAGACATCTGAAGTAGATGCAGGGAGGGAACAGGCTGGGAGAGGGGGAAGGGAAAGGAACTGGAATGGGGGTGGAGATCAGATCTGGGGAAAGTGGGAGAGGGTTGAGAGAATGCAAGTTGGTGGGGGCGCATCTCTGGAATGGGGGAGGAAGAAAAAAAAGTATCAAACTCAGCTGATATCCATGGGAGCCCAAAGCTCACTAATACAATAAGATAATTAATACAATAAGCTAACTAATAATATACTTCTTAGCCAATAATAGACTTCCTAGCTTGCCCTGCCGGGAGTCTGCTTCTTCTAGCCAAAACACTACTTACACCTTCCAAATAATAATTCTGATGATAACAAATTTAAGTTATTTTATATATGGCCAGGTGTGGTGGGAGATTTCCTTGGGGAGCTGTGGTATTCTGTGCAATTTTAGCCACACATCTAAAAGTTGTGTCTAGAGTCTAGTTTTCTTCCTGTTAGAGCAACAAACCTGTCATAGATGATCAGATTGGACAGAGGAGGAGCCTCTTCTTCTTACGCATAGTGTGAAGTGTGTGATAATTATAGTTGTGAGAACAAAAACAGAGAGAAATAAAGATAAATGTTTCAATGTTGAGAAATGGAGGGATCTACAATGTACAAAGGAGATAAAAGCATTTTCAGTTTTATATTATTATGATACATGTTGCAAAGGTATATGATATAAGCATAATGTCAACTATGTGGACAGCCTGCTTTGATAAGTAATTTGTTTTATTCTTCTTTGCTGTGGCAGATAGACAGTGTACATTCCTGGTAATAACTAGTAAAGTATAACCAGAAAATTATACGATGATCCAGAAAAATAAAAGATTTAAACTATGTTAAATGGGCACAAAGTGTGCATTAACTATTTATTGATCTAAATTAATTGTCACAACTATATAAAGATTCTCTCAGTACAACAGAGCTTGCTTGAGAAATGAGAAGTCCTATAGTTGAAATGTTGAATGCAATCTATAAGTAGGAGAAAAAATAGCCACAGAACCCTTAGATTTATTAAATGAAAAGTATCTTGGCCATTCCTAAATATTTATTTTGTCATTTTTCATAATCTATTCAGAGAAATATAAATGTTCTAATTCCCAAGTGGATCACTTACCCTCTGATCAGGGAGATATTTCTTTCACTAAATAATTTCTCATTGGACCTGATTTTCTTATGTCAGTTGTTGTTTTACTCTTCTAAATAAAGTTTTATTATTTTAGGATTTTAATTAGGTTATCTGATAGTCTTAATTGGATTCTTCTCCAGACACATGTTGCACTTTTCACATTGCATAAATCAGTGTGAGTTGTGAAAGCCAAGCCAATTCAGATCCCTGAAATAACCAATGGCTAGTGAAATACTCCCATACTTAGCTGCCACCCACAAGAGTCCTAAACAAAACAAAAGCTTTATTTTTCTGAGTGATTTCAGAGCCCAAATTATTTTTATAGTAGGCACTACAAAGATTTTATAGAAAATAACAGTGCTTTCCTCAAGAAATTATGACAGATAAGGCAATATGGTGCTTTCATTTAGTTTTGGAGTAACATTTTCCTCCATAATTTGATGTCCTCTAGTTGGAGATTTAACCTTATCCCATATTAGGAATTAGTTCATAATATTTTTTTTCACAGGCCTGTACATACCAAGCTACAGTAGAATGTGCAGACGATGCCTGTTGCAAATACAGAGCCCCAGAGATTAAAGCCAGTCACTACAAAAGAAGAAATACCATTAAAAGGCATTAAAGCAATCTTTTCTGTCAAAAGCGGAACAGCAAATTTGGCCCACTATGATTCTGTAGCTTAGATTCTAGGTCCAGTTTGGTTGTTGCTTTTCAACCAATTTACTGAGCAATCTGAACCCACCTTTACTGATACTGAAATTTTTTTCTCTGTCATTTGTTTGTAAAGGGTTGTGTAGACATTATATGGAGGAAGAACATGAATTTCAATATTGCTACTAATTTTTAATATTAAACATATATTTGGCTTTTTTTCAAGAACTTGTACTTCCCAATATGTCTATACAGAGAAATTAATTTCATTGCTATGTTCTTTTAATATGGGAGATATCACTGAAGAAAATATATTCTGTTTTTTTTTTTATTTTTCCTTTATTTTTGTTTCCAGGATTCCATTATCTCGAAAGGATCAACGATATATATCTCAATGTAATTATAAGCAGCTTTTACTTGTGTGTTCAGATCTTTTGCTTTATGAAGTAGCCTTCAACACAAATGACGTTACTTAGTTCTTATGGATGTACAATGCCAAATCTGCCATCATTTCAAAGATTGGGAAGCAAAACTGAAACACCCCAGCACAAAACACGTGACTGAACTGAGTGTTGACAATCAAGCAGTTTTGGAAAGCAGAACTCCGGTGATCGTTTTTTACTACTCTCCGTGTCAAGCACACTTTTCCAACTTCACATATGCAGTGATCAATATAGTCACCCCAAGTCCATTATCTTCTATAGTATTTCCCATATAAAGTATTGAATATATATTTTCAAAGCTGAGCACTTAGAAACTTTGAGGTGAAATATGCCCAGAAAACTCACCTTGATTGAGAGCCAGAGCAGGGGCGTAGACCACAACTCCTGTGTAGAGAATCTGGTGTAGACACAGGGGCAGAGAGAAAGTGGCATGAGGGGAAAGCCTGACTAGAAAATTCTCTGTTGAGCATAGTCTTTTTTGTTGTTGTTGTTACAAGTGTTATTTTTTATTTTATTTATTGAAAATTTTTATCTCATGTCCCAATCACAGACTCCCCTCCCTTCTTTCTTTCTAGTTTTCTCACCACCTCTCCACTCCCCCTGATCCATTTTTTTTTTTTTTCAGAAAAGAACAGACGTCCAAAACATGACAGTCACATAGGACAAAATAAGATACAATTAAGAATAAGCAAAAGCCCTTCTATGGAGGCTGGACAATGCTACCCAATAGCCAGTCAGAGATATACCTGTTCCTCCTGTTGGAAGTGCCACAAAAACTTCAAGCTAACCGCTATAACATATACACAGAGGACCTGATACAAACCCATGCAGCCCCTGCTTACAGTTGTTTCAATGGTGTAAATTAGTTAACTTCCATTGTATTTAATGCTGAATTGCATTATCTAAAACTGTGAGGGTATCAATCCCGTGTGAATTCCATAGTTTTAAAATGAAAATATCTGAGCCATTTGGTAAGAAGCAATATTTCTTGAAAAGCCTGGAAGCATTGCTTTTTAGCAATTGGTTGTCCAGTGTCAGGTGGTTAGCCCTGAAAACATAAATACAAGTAGCATTATATGGGCCAAACAGGTTCTAATTAGTATATATGTGTGTGTTTATACATGTGTATATATACATGCAAAAACAATTAGGAAAAAAAATGAGTCCATGAATTGAAGAATAGGGTTAGGTACATGAGAGGATTTGAAGAGAAGATGGGGAAGGGAGAAATTTTATGTGTAAATTATAAGCTCAAAAAAGATAAGATTGTTTGGGATAGAAACCTTATAGTGTTACTTTGATGCACTTATTATTTAATTAAATAAGGCTAGCAGCTGAAAAAAAAATATTACTTGCCTCCTATTTCCTAGATAAATCGTTCAGGCAGAGGCAGAATTTTAGAAGGGCAAGGGTTATCTTGCTGCAGAAAACTACTGGGAATGTAGCAGTAGAGAGTAGCTTGTGTACATGCTACTCAAAGCCCACTATAGGAAGAAGTCCATAAGACAGAAGGGGGTGTATGAATGAAAACTACTACAGTAGAGGCAAGAGACTTACAGAGAAGCAGGCATTTCTAGTGTGACTCAGCTTATTGGTTTAAGAAATTAAGCCATGAGCAATAAGTATGCCTGTTCCCAGAACTTGGGATATAGAGTCAGAAGAGTTTCCAGCCTGATATACCTTGGAAGAACGTGTCTCGCAACAACAAAAATAACTTACCAGATTTATTCCATAATTGAATTTTAAAAAGTTAAAAGAATGAAATAATTTTGAATAAGAATGTTTCCTCTATGGCCTCTGACAGTTTGTTTTGATATATGTGTGTGTGTGTGTGTGTGTGTGTGTGTATATATACATACATATACACATACACATACATATACATATATACTGTGTGTGTGTTTGCTTTGAGACAGGTCTCACTTGTACCTCTGGTTAACCTCATCCATTTGGTGAGCCAGAGTTCCTATGAATTCAGGGAGATCCACCTGCATCTGCCTCACAAATACCGATATCAAAGGCCTGGCTTACCATATCCAGTTTACAATTTGTTGCTGGTTGTTATTCCAGAAATAAGAAATCTATGCTGGGTGGATTCGTCTCAAGATAATCACACATCTCAAAAGTACTACCTTCAGAAGAAGGTAGCGACTTCTTAGTATCAAAGCTGTCCTTTAGTTGAGGTCATTTACCCCCCAATAAACCCTGTGACCCTCGTTTTTCAGACCTGCCACCGCCCTTGCTCCTCACCGTCTGCACAATGTAGATGACAGTTGCTGCATAGCGAACTGGTTTGTTGAACCGTAGCTGTAGATACTAAAACAAAACAAACAAACACAAAACAGAGAAAGACATGCAGTCAGTGAGCTTTAGACAGTTGTCTTGGTCAGTGTTCTTTTGCTGTAAAGAGATGCTGGTTATAGCTTCAGGGGTTTAGTCCATGTCTTCAGAGTGGGAAGCATGCTGGCACACAGTCAGACATGGTGCTGGAGAAGTAGCTGAGAGTTCTACATCCTGATCCACAGACAGCACAGAGAACCACTGAACTGGCTTGGGTTTGGAAACCTCAAAGCCTACAGGCAGTGAAGCCCATCCTTTAACAAGGCCACACCTCTTAATCATTCTTTTTTTTTAATTTTCATTTTTCTTTTTAGTTACAATTTGTTAACTCTGTGTCCCAGCTTTATCCTGCTCCCTCATTCCCTCCCCCTCCCCAACTCCCTCCCTGGTCTCCTTCCTTCCCCCTTCCAAGTCCACTGATAGGGGAGGACCTCCTCCCCTTTCATTTGACCCTGTTTTATCAGGTATCTTCAAGGCTGGCTGCAAAGTCCTCCTCTGTGGCCTAACAGGACTGCTCCTCCCCTGGGGGCGGGGGAGGTCAAAGAGCCTGCCCTTGAGATCCTGTTAGAAATAGTCCTTGTTCCCTTACGTTGGAAAACTACTTGGTTACTGAGTTACCACGGGCCACATGCGAGCAGAAGTTCTAGGTTATATCCATAGATGGTCCTTGGTTGAGTGTCAGTCTCAGAAAAGACCCTGTGCCCAGATATGTTTGGTCCTTGTAGAGCTCCTATCCTTTCCATATCATACTAACTTCCCTTCTTTCATATGATTCCCTGCACTCTGCCAAGGTTGGTTATGAGTCTTAGTGTCTGCTTTGAAACACTGCTAGGTAGGGTCTTCCAGATGCCTTTTGCGGTAGACTCCTGTCATACATTCAATGCACATCCCATTTGTCTTTCTAAATGAGGATTAATCATCTTCACCCATGTCCACTTTCTTGATTATCTTCTTTAGGTGTGTAGATTTCATTATGTTTATCATATCTTGTAGGTCTATATAAGCGAGTATATACCAAGTTTATCTTTCTCCTTCTGGGATACTTCACTCAGAATGATCTTTTCTAGATCCCACCATTTGCCTGCAAATTTCATGATTTCCTCCTTTTTGATTGCTGAGTAGTATTTTATTGTGTAAAAATACCACAATTTCTGTATCCATTCCTCTGTTGATGGACATCTGGGTTGTTTCCAAGTTCTGGCTATTACAAATAAAGCTGCTACAAACATGGTTGAACAAATGTCCTTGTTGTGTACTTGAGCAAATTTTGGGTATATACCTAGGAGTGGTATAGCTGGATCTTGAGGTAGCACTACTCCTAATTGTCTTAGAAAGCGCCAGATTGACTTCCAAAGTGGTTGTACCAGTTTACATTCCCACCAGCAGTGGAGGAGGGTTCCCCTTTCTCCACAACCTCTCCAGCATGTGTTGTCACTTGAGTTTTTCATCTTGGCCATTCTGATGGGTGTAAGGTGAAATCTCAGGGTTGTTTTGATTTGCATTTCCCTAATGGCTAATGAGGTTGAGCATTTCTTTAAGTGTTTCTCTGCCATTTGATGTTCCTCTTTCGAGAATTCTCTGTTTAGCTCCATTCCCCATTTTTTAATGGGATTACTTGGTTTGTTGCTTTTCTGCTTCTTTAGTTCTTTATATATACTGGATATTGGCCCTCTGTCAGATAAAGTGTTGGTGAAGATTCTTTCCCAATCTGTAGGCAGTCGTTTTGTTTTGATGACTGTGTCTTTTGCTTTACAGAAGCTTTTCAGTTTCATGAGGTCCCATTTATTGATTGTTGCTCTTAGAGCCTGTGCTGTTGGTGTTCTGTTCAGGAAGTTGTCTCCTGTGCCAATGAGTTCTAGGCTGTTCCCCACTTTTTTTTTCAACTGATTTAGAGTATCTGGTTTTATGTTGAGGTCCTTGATCCACTTTGACTTTAGTTTTGTGCAGGGTGATAAATATGGATCTATTTTCATTTTTCTGCATGTGGACATCCAGATGGACCAGCACCATTTGTTGAATATACTGTCTTTTTTCCATTGAGTGGATTTGGCTTCTTTGTCAAATACAAAGTATTCATCGGTGTGTGGGTTTATTTCTCGGTCTTCTATGCTGTTCCATTGATCCTCCTTTCTGTTTCTATGCCAATACCATGCAGTTTTTATTATTGTTGCCCTGTAGTACAGCTTGAGATCGGGGATCTTAATCATTCTTAAGTCGAGGCACTCTGATGGCTATGCATTCAAATATAAGAACCTGTGGGGGGGGGGGGGAATCTATTCAGACCATCACAAGCTGCTGACTTTTTTTAAAAATCAGTTTCTTAGTCTTTCTTTGAACATAGGATTTGGGTTTATAATATTATTTTATGGTATGTATCCTTAGAAGCAATGGGGAAAAAAAAAGAAGAACATGAATTGTTAAAAGTCAAACATGTTCTTCATACTTCTCACAATAGTTCTAGAAGGCAACTAGAGTGCTTGCATGAAAATCGACATCGAAGCAGGGGTCTTCCTGCTGAATCCGCTGTCTTTCATGTCCCTTCTGCCCACAGTTTAGCCTGTCTTTGTTCTTTTCTGGACTAATTCTGTAGCCCTCTCATTGGCCACTTTAAAACTAAGCCTTGGCAGCATGTTCTATTGGCATATAGATACCCACCACATTGTGTTTCTTAGGACAACTTGGTTCACACCACTCTCAAAATATCCAGGGATTATTGTTGCCAAAATGCCGTATGGCTTTCTGGCTTGGTCTTCACTATCGCCTGGCCACACCTGTATATCTTAAGTTATACCTACACTTCCTCATAATTTATAATCAAGATTCAATAATTATTTATTGCTAAAGTGGTAGTTCTATTTTATGTTTTTATTATTTTATTACATCACTCCACTTTTCTATTTTCTCCCTCCAGCTCCATCCACCTTCCCTCCCTCAAATCCTTTCTATTTCTCTCTCAAGGTGATAGTCTCTCTCTCTCTCTTTTTTTTTTTTTTTGCTTATTATTGTTACATACACATATGTATGTGGATATGAATAGGTCTGTATGTATATGTGCATATATCTCTAAATACAACCTACTAAGTCCTATTTTGTTGTTTGGGCATATATGGTTTTAAAGCTGACCACTGTGTATTTGACAGACAAGAAGGAGGCAGCCTTCCTGAGCTGTAATACCTAAGAACCACAACAATCATCGCATGGCAAGATATTTATAAAGGTACAATAACTGTCACTCATGTGCTTGTGGCAACCAACAATTATTATTTTTTTTAACTTTTCCAACATTAATTAAAAATGAAAGAGAGATTTTCCTCAAACTTAAACTGTTCCCAACAATTTTAGTTATCTCCCAAGAAGACTGATCCAGATGGCATCCATAATCCTATGCATATTTTCTTTTCTGAGCTCTGTTACCCAGATATTTTTAATATATTTAAGGTTATCAGTCTGTCTGGCTTTGTATGGATATGGGTGACTTAAAACAGTAGAAACTTATAACCATCCATTCCTGAAGGTCAAACCTCCAAAATGAATTTCTCTAGGCCAAATCACTGTTGCAGTGCCACATTCCCACAGAAGTGTCTGACAATTATCCCATTTTGAGCTTCTCTGCACCCTTGGTATCTGCTACCAGTCCTTTGCTTCTGACTCCATTGTCCAGGAGTCTGGTACCTACTCATATGATCTAAGGTCATTTTATCATGCATAAAATCATATTAATTCTACACCTGAAAAATTGTTCAATGTATTTTTCACTCATTGAATGGTTGTCTTTGATGGGTATACAAGCTTTAAATTACACTAGAAAGCAAAAACTGAGTCTAACAGAAACATTGTATGTTTCATGCCTGGTTTTAAAAGCCCCAGAGGTGAAGTTTAGACTCATCTTGCTGTTTGTTTGGCTTTTTTCTTAGACTTGGTCCATCTACAGTATTGTCTCACTCAAGACATATAAATCTGCTCTGCATGGTTGCTCGCACAGAAATAGTAATAATATGAAGCTAATATCACCTCGTCTTTAGCTCTCACAGCCTACATTCAATTCATAAAAGGAGCTTGGTACCTACACCATACTTTCAAACAAAGATGCTTGGTTCATTTCTTTTGATGCAGCTTTGAAAAATTATCTTTTCCTCTATATTGTGGCAACAGCCTCCTACTCAGCCCAATTGCTTCAGTGGCCAAAATCCTAAAAGCATCTCAATATTCAGCTAGAATGTGTCCCTAAAACAGAAAGCATATAAAACATGCCACTCTTCAACTAAACAGTATAATGGCTGATATACAAATATTAAAAGCTAATTCCTCCATAGATTGAACTAAAATTCTCATAACATTGGGTTAGATATTATCAGATATTAAAATTCCATTTTAGGACAAATATTTTATAGTAATTTTGCCAAAGTAATATTTTATTACATTTATGCATATTACTTATCAAAATATTATTAAAATAATACCACAGACTCAATTTCACAGAAAAAGTAAAATTAATGTAACAAAATGTCATACACAAATATTTAGAGGTCACTGTATGAGACATTGTAATATATGTGTTTTTGTTATGAATACTTTAGATTGAAAGAAGTAGGAAGCTTAAGGGTTAGCCAGTCTAAGAAGCTGGACATAATGATAGACTATGAAACATATGTTAAACAGTTTAATAGTCAATATAAAAAAAACTTAGACTTACTAGAACAGAAAAAAGGAAATAATCTAAACTGAAATGAAAATAGCGTGAGAAATCTAATTATAAACTATCAAACTGGAAGTAATGAAAATGTATGCTACTGAAATTTGGCTGTGCTGGCCATGGTGGTGTACACCTTTAATCCCAGCCCTTGGAAGGCGGAGGCAGGCAGATCTCTGTGAATCAAGGTCAGCCTGGTCTACAAATTGAGTAGCAGGATGGCCAGGGCTATCCTTGTCTCAAAAAAAAAAAAAATGAAGTTGAGCTAAGCCTAACTTAGAACACCTGAGTACCTGAGTGAAATTAATTTCTATGCCTAGACATGGGGATGAGGTGTGACAAAGTTGCACAGATGCATAGTTTCAGTTTGAAGTTCCACCCTCTTTCCAACCAACCAACCAGTTAGCTACTGCTGTATTTTATCCACTGTGTTGTTAGGTGCTGTCAAATTGAAACAAACTAGGATCAAGGGAAGAAGGCACTTTAATTGAAGAATAGCTTCATCAAGTCTGTGGGGCATTTTCTGAATTAATGATTAATAGGAGATGGAGTAGTGACATCCTTGGGAAGGTGGTCCTGGGTTAAATAAGAAAGCAGGCTGAGAAAGCCATGTAACTAGTATGTTTGTATGGCCTCCTGTTACTGACCTGAGTTCCTGCTTGAGCTTCCTTCTAGGCTGAATTGTGACCTGTAAGATGAAATAAACACTTTCCTCCTTAACTTGGTTTCAGGCAGTGTTTTATCACAGCAACTGAAAGCGAAGTTGGATAGACATCCCAAAGTGGTGGGTTCAAAACCCAAGAATGACTATTTTTCATCATGCTGAGGGTAACAGCTAGTCCTCCATTATTTCCCCTGGTCCCTAAGTAGCTCTAATCAACTGCAAAATCAATTGCTTGAGGTATGTGTGTGTGAGACTACTCCACTTTCAGAGCTAGACCAGATGAGACAGCTTGCTTATATAGCAATATGATGGCAGTATTCCAAAGGACAAACACAGATGCTGTAAATTTAATGAGATCTAGAATCCAAACTCACTAATTGTTTGAAAAGTTTAGTCATCAAAGCAAACGGCAAAGTTGGTTGGTGTTCAAGAAGAGGATATCACATACATTCCACTTATTTCAGTCTTTTACACCTGAAAAGATGCAGAAAATCATATACTATGTAATGGGGTATAAGGAAAGATATCCCATATAACATAGTGTTATAAATAGGGAACAATGAAAAAAAAGGAGTGCTGACATAATATTCTAACCCAGATCTATAAGTAACTCCATATAATATCTCATCCACTGTAGAAATCCTTCAAGAAAGAAGTTATTACTAGGTTATTACTAATAATATTTTTCAGTATAAAAACCAGACATAGAGTGCTTAAAAGATTTCTTCTATCAGGTGCTAGCATGTGGCAGAACTGTCATTCAAAGCCAAGCGGGATTACATTAGAGTTCATGCTGTCACCTCTAGGCCAATCTTGTAAAGTAAGGTCCAATCCCAAAATAACTTACAAGTACTTTACACAATCTTCATGTACTCTTGTTATAGTACTGTGGGTTTTAAAGAATCCTCAGGCAAGCAATGGTGCTTCAAAAACAAGTTTGTATGTGAAACTGAACATGTAAATTTGAAAGGAGTCTTACATCTCTTTGGAGTTGGTCTGGCCTTGAGAAGCATGTGTCATAGGTTCCTCAGGTTAGAGTCCATGATTCCTTGCAAATTATGTGTTTGCAATTGCTTAATTGCCTGTGCAATTCTCATTCACTTTACTAAAATCAGTTACAAGTTGCAAGTTTAGGAGAAGTTGCAAGTTTAGAAGAAGTTGCAAGGTTAGGAAAAGGCAGATGACTCTGCTTGAATATATTATTTAATTATTTTTAGGTAAACATAGAACCTCTGTTAACCTAACTCTGTATTTCCAAGGCCATAATCATTCAAATTTGGCTCCGAAATAAACTATCTCTTATTCCCTGAGGTGAAAGCTGTGATTTTTCTGCTGGCAAACACCAAATGAGTTAATATGGGTAAAATACATAAAATACTGCTTAGCACACAACTAAATGCAGAACATATAACCCTGTGCTATAATTGTTTTATGTGTTTATTGTTTGTCTTCTTTGCATGAAAGTAAGACCCATGAGGGCAGAGCATTACGTTTAACAAATGTCCTCAAGGTCTGCAGGTGTGTGTGCACAGGACAAAGTCAATGCTGCATGGGCATTTATTAAATGAATGGCTAATTATAATGTATATTCCAGGAGGAAACATGGACATAAGGATTGCACATGTTAAAAACACTTGTAACACAAAACTAGAAAACTCAGCAGTATTTTCTTCAGTCAAATCTTTATCCCTGCGTGGGAAAATCCAGGCCACATTTACATTTTCTGAAGCACATTACAGTTTAATAGCACATGTGCTGGACATTTTGTAGTGCTAAACATGAATTCAGTTATTTTCTCTTGAGTTTGTGTCTCAGACTACACCTCATGAATTTCCCAATGTGATTAATTTCTTAGCATCAGGATAATTACGGTCACCTATGAAACTGTATGTCTTGAGACCTTCTGGAAAGTATTTATTTGTCTAAATGGCTTTGGAAGGCTAGAGAAACATTTTATGATAAAATTTTTAAAGTTTTTTGAGTCTTCTGCTGTGACTTTCAGGGTTTTCATTGGCAATAAGATTCAGTATTTTTTTTTCTTTGCAAAAACTGATTTATAATCACACTTAAATACTGGGCATGAAAGCTCAGTTTAAAGATGTTGGTTTTATTGAGCATTGTTTCAAGGCCAAAATTCCATGGTCATATTTCCCACTTGGTACAATAATTTCTATATTTTATTATTTTGGAATTTCTTCCTACTGAAATATTTCTCCCTTTTCAAAAATAATCCCTTTTGGTACTTAAACCTGGAGTTCATTAATAACTAATATTAAAAATCTCTTTGATATACAGGCCATAAAAAAGTACCATATACAAATATTAGCCTTTCAGTAGATTTTTATCTACTTCTAAAACATGCCTATATCCTGATCTCAGTTTTCTCCACTGGAAAATTATAATACTGAAAACATGTGTTCTGATTGCCTTTTCAGCGTGGTCATGTTAATGATAATAAAAATAATATTATATCTCTTATCTTATTTATCTTTCACCAGTTAAGCAGTGCATTCGTTTTTATACATTGGTCCTCGTTAAATCATGGAAATAGTCAATGAGAGTGACATTACTAGTTGTCTTCTAGTGACAAACAGGTGTGTCTACAGCCCAAACAAAGCAAACCCCCCCCCCATACTACATACCAATTTTAAACAGCATAGAATTGCCTTGAAAATAGTCCACTACTGAAGTCAAGATGATATGCATTAATATAAAGACAACAAACTGGGGTGGAGGGGAAGACCTTTCACATGGAAAGAATGTGGCATCTCCTTGCTGTGGACAGGGAGAAAGTGGTCTCTTACCTCATAGGTGCTTGTGATGCCAGATCTGTAGAACACAGGAAGAAAGAGTTCAGATGTGAAAAGGACCACAAATGCATAAGAAATGAGAAAAAGGAAGAAGGATGCCCCAAAGCGGTAGACTTCAGCAGGAGACCCCAGAACAGTGACAGCTGACATGAAGCTGGCTGTCAGAGACAAAGCTACAGGACCAAAGCTCATTTGCCTTCCTCCTACTAAGAATTCCCGAGATGTTGCTTTTTTTCTCTCCTTTATGGCAAAGAACACACCAATTCCACAGGAAATGACGAAGAGGCCTGCAAACACCACATAATCCCAAGCTTCGAAGTTCTTCACACCCATGCTTGGAAGTGGAACAGGAGAATCTCTTTCAAGTAGGTCTCAGTGGGATGATTCCAGAAGCTGATGCTTTTTTTTTTTTCCAGATGGAAAGAAGAATGTGATTCTCCGAAAAGCTTGAGGATCACCGACGCGTGTGTAAATTTTCAGATATCAAATTATACTCAAAGTTCTCAAAAGCTGGCTGTGAAAAAATAATTGGTGGTAAAACTGGTACCAAGGAGGGGACAAATAGTGGTCTGATTCTGGCCACAAGCTTTTCTCAGGTTTTGCCTCCTAAACATATGGCAGAGGACTTCAGATGTGTTCTGAAGTTAACTAACTGTGGGTAGAGGGAGTAGATTTGCCAGCTAGCATGCTTTTTTATCTCCTAGATTTTTTTTAAATGAAAGTTAAACATTATTAGGAAACGTGGAAGTGATAAAATCTGACTACTTCAGCATTTTTTCTATTCCTGAAGTAGAACATGAAAATGCAAACACAACTGTCAGTGGCATCTGCCTCCTGACTAAGGGAGTGTGGAGTGTTCATGCCTACAATTGCCGAGGCAGAGGAGCAGAGGGTAAAGAGCAAAGAACTACCAATCCGGAGACCTTTGCTCATATCATGGCTCAATCACAACTCAATAACTATTAATAAAGCACTTCACTTTCTGGAGCGTCCCTTGGAACACTAGGATAAGACACTGTGAGACTTCGAATCTCAAAACTTCCTGACCCTGTTTGTTCTAATATCTTTGCACTTACAACAATAAACTTCTAAATATAGTATTCTACCTTGACTCTCAGACTGAGAAAATGGGTGTACCAGTAATGGGTAAATCACCTGTAGCCACATTATTGTATCCTTCACTCCTTTGTTACTTTATTACTATACTTGTATCAAAAGGATAAATTAGAGTTAGGACCAAATCAAGTTAGAGGATAAAGAAGATGTTGGGGGATATTTCAATTTCTGCACTTTGTGGACTCTTGAACAACTAGAAGCATCTTTAGTAGGATGTTTGGGAGATATTGTCCTTTTGTTCACACTTCTCTGCCCTCATCTCTACAAATCCTTTCTAGTATACAAGATTTAGTAATGCCTCCTCAGCTTTGTAGCCTGTCTGGTCTCCCACCCCAGGTCAATTCTTTTAGCATTCCCTTAGTTCTTGCTCCATTCTTTGCAATTCTTCTAATCTATTGTCAGCTATTTCTGCCCTTCCCAGCCTGACTGTGTGTGCTGAGAAGCCTGATCCTACAGAAGATTACTTCTTGGAGATAGAGGCTAACGTTCTACTTTCTATACCCTTTATTTAAATACAAGCCATTAATAGAAAGTAGTCAAAAACAAAAAGGAGAAATCCTAAATTATCTACAGTACCCAACAACTGAACATTATCTCTTGAACAGAAGAAACTCTTAATTTTGCTTTTGAATAAATGAGTAAGTATTCAATTATTAGGTCAGGCATTCTCACTTGGTAATTCGCTTCATGGGCCTGTGTTGGGTGTGAGAATATTGCAAAGGTGCTTACAAGAAGGGTGAAGACCTCCCACCCTGCATTATTCTTTGTGTGTCAGTTATTTCAATTTCTTCCCTAACTTTGTACAATTGATAGGATTGTTATTAAAGGGGTGTTGTATCCTTACTATGTTTGCCTTAACCTACACTTTCAATTATTTTTATCATGAAGCACAGACATTCCTTATCTTGTTTTCTTTAATTTACTCAGCTTTGCACATATTGCCTATTTACAAACTGAAAGTTTGTGGTAATCCTCTGCTTCCGCACTACTTTTTTTTTTTTTTTTTTTTTTTTTTTGCACTGTGTATTTGGTTTTGTCATCCGTGTCACATTTTAAAGCAAACTCACTATTTGAAGCCATTCTGTCATTACACCCACCATGGTGATGTGTGGTCAGGAAGCTTTACATTATTACTATAATTATGTCTGTGTCAAGAACAGTAAGCATGTTTCTCATTGTCTCTCTGTATCAGTATGTTACAGTGGCTCATACCTTTTGACTGAGAGGAAGAGTCATGTAGCTATCACATCAAATCGTTACTGCAAGGATAAACTCTTAAAAAAGTTAAAAGTCCTATGAATATGAACATTAGACATAAAAGCAGCCTTAATGCTGAGAAAGCCATAGCAGTATGGATATAAGCATTCCTTTATTCTTAATGTAGAATAAATTCTGCTCTCCTTGATTCTGTGAGGTCTGGAGAGGTACAGAAGACAAAGAAGAAAAGTTTGAGCCTAGTAGAAGTCATTTCATAGGGTTTAAGAAAGAAAGACACCATTTGGTTATGAGTCTCAGCATCTGCTTCGATATCTTGCTAGAGTCTTTCAGAGGCTCTCCGTGGTAGGGTTCTGTCCTGTTCCTTTTCAGATATCTATCCTGTTTGCCCTTCTGAATGAGGATTAAGATGAGACCTGATAGGCTAGGGTCAGATGGAAGGAGAGGAGGAACTCCCTTATCAGTGGACTGGGGCAAGGGGATGGGAGGAGAAGAGGGAGGATGGGATTGGGAGGGGAGCAGGGAAGGGCTACAGCTGGGATACAAAATGAATAAATTATAATAAAAAATAAATTTATAAAAAAGGAGAAAAACACAAAAAAAACATGCTAAGACATAAAAAATATTATGAAAAACATGTAATTATTTATAATTTTGATCCATTAATAAAGACTGCTAAACACCATTTCATTTAAAAAAAATAAACTATTTTCTCAAAAAAATATATGACTAATCTCATCTTATAAGTGAGTATATACCATTTGTGTTTTTCTGCTTCTGGGTTACCACACGCAGGATGAACTTTTCTAGTTCCATACGTTTGTCTGCAGATTTCATGATTCCTTGTTTTCAGTTGCTGAGTACTATCTATTAGGTAAATGTACCACAATTTATGTATCCATTTCCCAGTTGAGGGACATCTAGGTTGTTTCCAGTTTCTGGCTCTTATGAATAAACCTGCTATGAACATGGTTGAGCAAATTCTTGAAAACATTGCCTCCAAATTTGAAAGTTCTACTGTGGACAAAAAGGAAGCTACTTTAGCCATTGTACTGGACTGCAGACTTGAGAAAGAGGGACACAGAAGGCATCTATGACAACCCTACTCCTAACCTACCTCATGCTCTCAAAAAAGTGACAGCCTTGACAGAAAGGCATGGAAGAGATAACTCTTTAAAATTGTGATGAGGATGCTAATGTGTAGCTCTCCAAGGCTTCTGGTAGGGTGCCGGTGGGGAAAGATTCCCTTTGGGAGTTGGATCATGCTCCAGTGAGTATATAAGCAACACAAATTTGACTTGTTTGTTTTTCTTTTCATTTTTAAATTTTAATTTTTTTTCTTCTTTTTATTAAGAGGAGGGAGTCACAAAAGTGGGTGGCGGACCTAGAAAGACTGGGAAGAGGGTGTGCTCAGTGTTCACAATGTGAAATTCCCAAATAATCAATAAAAGTGTTACCAAAAAAAAGTAAAACACTATTGCGGTGAAAAGTCTTTCATGAAAAGAGGACTCAGTCTATTTGGCACAACTCACTGTCCTCTCTCCCTTTTTTTTCTTTATTAACTACACTTTATTCGCTTTGTATCCCCCCTGTGGTTCCCTCCCTCCTCTCATCCCAATCCCTCCCTTCCTCCACCCTCTGCATGCATGCCCCTCCCCAAGTCCACTGATAGGGGAGGTCTTCTTTTCCTTCCTTCTGATCCTAGTCAATTAGGTCTCATCAGGAGTGGCTGCATTGTCTTCTTCTGTGGCCTGGTAATGCTGCTTCCCCCTCAGGGGGAGGTAATTAAAGAGCAGGCCAATCAGTTCATGTCAGAGACAGTCCCTGTTCCTATTACAATGGAACCCACTTGGATACTGAACTGCCATGGGCTACATCTGTGCAGGGGTCTTAGGTTATCTCCATGCATAGTCCTTGGTTGGAGTATCAGTCTCAGGAAAGACCCCTGTGCTCAGATATTTTGGTTCTGTTGCTCTCCTTGTGGAGTTCCTGTCCTCTCCAGGTCTTACTGTTGCCCACTTCTTTCCTAAGATTCCCTGCACTCTACCCAAAGGTTGCCCATAAGTCTCAGCATCTACATTGATAGTCTGCAGGGCAGAGCTTTTCAGAGGTCCTCTGTGTCAGGCTCCTGACTTGTTCCCTCTTTTCTCCTTCTGATGTCCAGCCTCTTTGCCTTTCTGGATAGGAATTGAGTTTTACCTTAAGCAGTTGCCACAGCCATCCAACACTTATAGTCTCTGTTAGCAGCCATTAACATAAAGACAAGATGGTTCGTTGGAAGTAAAAGCTTATGATTTTCAGACAGCTCTGATGACCTATTAGCATTTTATCGATTGCTCTGGCTATTTTTTTTTTAATTTCAGCTTGATATAAGCTAAAGTCATCTGAGAGGAGGGAATTTCAGTTGAGAAAATGTCTCCATATGATCAGGCTGTATGTAGCAAACATGTAAGACAAATATTTTAACTAGGGATTGATAGGGAAGGGCCTAGCCCATTGTGGGTAGGGACACCCCTTGGCTGGTGGACCTTAGTTTTATAAGAAAAGAGCTGAAAAAAAACAAGAAGAACAAGCCAATAGGTAACATTCTTTCATGCTTCCTGCTGTCTGCTTTGAGTTCCTGCCTTGTCTTCCCTTAATTGACTATAATTCAGGATATGTAAGCCAAATAAACTTGTCTCTCCCCAAGTTGCTCTTTGTCATGGTATTTCATTACAGTAATACGTAATGGTAATTCTAACTATGACAATCAATGAGGTATTTTTTTTATCCAAGTACATACATTTTAGAAGTTATTGTACATAACCAGCCCTGGTGGCACACACATTTAATCCCAGCACTCAGGAAACAGAGGCAGGTGGATCTCCTGAGTTCAAGGCCAGCCTAGTCTACAGTGCTAGTTTCAGGACAGCCAGTGCTACACAGAGAAACCCTATCTCCAAAAAAAAAAAAAAAAAAAAAATTATTGTACAAGTCACAGACTGTAGTATGATAGGACATAACCTTTATAGATATATACTGAGATTCCTTTACTGCTCTCATCACTGCTTATAGTGGTCTTCTACTACAGCACTGCTATGCCGAAGGAATGCCTTTATTTTGACTTTGCTACATCCCTTCCTTGTGGTGGTCTCAGCAGAAAATCAGAACCCTGTTTGACTTTGAGAGATTGGACTTCTTCATTTAATATTAACATTACTGTGTGTTAATATTCAATCTACAAGACTTGTAAACACCTTGTAAGAGACAGTGACTTCTTGTTCAAAACATGGCCATTACATCCATTAGGTCCAAGGTTAAGTATCACAAGCTTGTA